TTCTACTGCCTTCAGTTAAGGACTTATGGGCTTATACACATTCCTGAATCTGGACAATTTTTCTGAATAAAACTTAACACATTTTGATCTCCCATGGGTTCTCTGAGGTTTGCTGATTATAAATTTGTCTTTGTCAGATCTGGGGGTCATTTTTTTCATTTAAAGAATTTTTACCTTTTTTTTAATATAAGGCTTGTACAGTTCTTAATGTAATCTGCTCTTCTGCTGTGCAAAAAAGGGTTCTCCTGAGCCTAGATTTAATATGTAAGCCTGCTTGAAACTGCTGATATGACACATAGCTTAGTATGTGAAAATCACATATGTTTGCTACATCTCTCCTCCACCGACTTTAAAAAAAAAGGTTTGCAGACGTCCCTTGCTTAGCATTACTGGATGCCATACTTTGACGGTATTTTCCGATTTTCCCTCAGCATTCTGGGTGCTGCTGCTGGACTTGTCATCACATTGTCATTGCTTCCCGTCGTGTGGGCTATTGTTGGGCTCTTGGTACGCACAGCTCTTTTATTTTTTTTTTTTTAATCATGAATAGGTCGAAATAAGTCTATTTAGTAGTTTCCAAAAGCCCACGTTCCCCAGAAGATAGCGGACACATGTTGCTAGCTTTGAGGTGCGTTCGTGTATGTGCTCGTTCGGTCTTTCATATGTTGAGGTTGGACGCTTTTCTATGCCTTATGCTATGAAGACGGCGGGAAGATGGCTTTCAGAAGAACTAAAACATAAATCTAGTCACACTTAAGACTTTTATTAGATAATCTACTGGTGTTAGTGGGTCTGTCTCAGACAAACAGTTCTACTCTGGAGGAGGAGCTTATTTGCAGTGCAAGTGATGCAAGCGCTTATTGCTAAGAAGGAAGAATTTTAGAGGAGGAAGGCAGTCACAAGGGAGAGCATCGTAAGCTCCCTGAAAGGGCAGAAAGCCTGGGCTGCATCTGAGGATATTTTGCTGTGCTATAGACAGTGCAGGAAAAATGGAGCAAACGCATTTCTTGGATTCAAAGGTGAATCGAAAGGAATTGGCTTCTCCGCAGGCAAGGCAGCCAGAGCGGCCACAGTAACAGATCCACGTGATAAACCGGGAGGCAACTGTGGCGCTCCCCAGACAACGGGCCTGAGGTGCCTGCCAAGGAGGCAGATGCTGCTGAAAGAAGATCTTCCACAGTTGGGCAGCTGGGTTCAGTGCTCTCCACCAACAGCAAAGTCAGGCTGGCCTCTGTCTCCCCTTGGATTATGTCAGCATAGATTTTATACTTTTGTACATAGCACACCATACTGCTCTTATGAGGGAAAATAATGAGGAAGGAAAGGGATTTTGCTCTGTAATGCACCCCTTCACTGGGATGTCTACACGGACGGGGACAGGCAGACTCGAGCTTGGCCGCCCCGTGCTCCAGCCTGGTGGACGCGAGGCGGCTCGGGTCTGGGAGTTGCAGAGCTGCATTACAGGGGCACGGAGCGCAGCTTAATAAGCAGAGCAGGCTGAGATTCATTAATTTAACATTAATAAGCGCAGCTTATTAGCTGAGGCACAGCGCTGTGTAACGCAGAGCCGCAGCAGCCCCAGCCAGCTCAGAGCAGAGCGGGGCTCTGCTCGCGCCTGGCCGGGGCGCAGCCAGCCTCTAGCTCCGCTCCGCTAGCTCGTTTTGCGCTGGTCGGTGAGGAAAGAGTATTTTATAGTCAGTGCAGAAGCTTCCGTGCAAAGAAAGCTCCAGGCTTTTGGACTGTCTGAGTCCTTAAGTCATTTAGACTCGTTGTGCCTCGGTTTCCCGATGGGTGCACGATAGCTAGCTCGAGACGCTGCTGCGAGAGCAGCACTGGTTATAAAGTACTGTGCGATTCTTAAAGAGGGAGGTGCTCCTTGTCCCTTACTGAAATTATAGTTTCACGAGTAAATTATTGCACAAATAATGACTTATCAAATAGAGGGTGGTTGCTCTCCGCTCACATTGGTGCACAGAGCTGATGCAAGACTCCTGCATCATTTGATGTCCTTTGTACACCTGCAGAACAGGACCTGTATGGTATATCAGTTTTATGTGATGCTTGGGTTTTGCTCGCCCTGTCTGGGAGTAAAATTCACTTGCAAATAAACAGCAGGAAGGAGTGGAGTCTTGAGGAACTATGGCCCTGTTTTCGCAAATATAAGAAAATGTATATACAGAAAACAAGTATCTCTACACATGCTAAAGTAGAGCAGGCTGTTTTCTGTAGCCCTTAATTTGGGAAAGTCCCTACTCAGATGAGGTTCTGTTGTTTCTTTTATGTGTAAAATATATGCTTGACTTGCTCATCTTAGGAAGAAGTATGAAAAACCTAACAGTATTTGTGCTCAACTATTTTCAATATAAAGCAATTTGTTATGATGTTAGACTGCAAAGAGCTATATGATATGTCTATTCAGCTGTATATTTTGTCTCTTTTACTCATGCATTATATTTGTAGTTGAATAAGTTTCATGCAAAGATGAATAGAGGACACGGGATTTTTTTTCCATCAGATGCAAAATACTTAAAAGTACAGGTACTGAGGCCCTGAGCGTTGGTTTTAATACCCGTTCCGTGAGGTTCACACACGACACAGTGACTTCTTGCAGCTTCAGTGGACTTGATCTAGGGAGGATGTGTGACACAGGTAAGATCTCAGTGTTAATCCCTGCTGGTACGTCTGCTGCCAGGGCTTTCTCCTGGACTCTCTCATCAGCTGCTTTGCATGGGTTTCTAAAGAAGGACCCGTTGGAAGTTCATCTGTCTCACATATTATTTGATATGAACCCATCTGGACCGGCCGTTCAGACTGGCCCTTTTTTCTCATTGATGAGTTCATGAGAACGTGCCAGTTTGCACAAGTTTTTTATGTTTACAGTGTTTTTTCTACTGCTGCTTCCATATCGATGGGACGAAAGCTCCCAGGATAATCCCTTCCTTCCCTGTGCATGACACAGAAGGCTGACTTTCTCCAGAGAGACTCAGGTAGTTCCTTCCATAATGCTCAACCCACTAAGACGGCCCAAATATCATATTTTCCTGCCTTCCATCACTCTGCACTACTGCATCACTTCAGTACACCCCCTCTTTCACTGTATTTCTGCAGTGACCCTAGCATAAGCACATGTCCTTATTTAGATAATACATCTGCCTTCCTCCCCTTCTGTGGAGCTGTGGTCAAGCCAGGTATTGTAGACATATGCATTACTAAGTATCACTATTTAATTATTTGTATTTTATTTTTTTCCCCAAAACCCCAGTCTTGATCCAGTTTTGCCAGTTATCCTGTATATACACAGCAGGAAACAATTGCTGTCCTGAAGAGATTATGCTCTAAAGAGACAAGGCAGACAAAGGAAGTATTATCACCATTTTGTAAACAAGGAACTGAGGCACAGAGCGATTAAATGATTTACCCAAGGTCATACAGAACATCTGGTCAAAGCCAAGAACTGAACCCAGGTCTCCTGAGTCTCAATCAAGTGATTTAACTATAAGATCAAAGACTTATTGTGTATACCTGATACCATTCCCCTAAGACATGGTAACAAAAGTTTCTTCAGGTTAGGATCAATGCCATGTACAATGAAGTAAGTTTTATATATGGCATATTTGTTTGGACAGCATGTACCTAGTTCTTGCACCAAGGTTCTTCCCAGGAAATAATTTCCCTTATTATTTTTCCATTGACAGCAATATATGATTATCCTTCTCTAGATAACCCTCTGAAGCAGAGAATGTATGCACAGGGTACATTGGACGAATACATGGGAAAATGGTTTTCTTCAAGGCCAAACTCAGACGTTTTACAGACCTTTTAAAATCCTTCTATGCTTAATTAAATGGGGACATTCCCACAACTACAGGTACTTCCTTTTGCAGTTTCAGCCGGCAGTTGCACAAGATAAAGGATCTACATCTATTTTATACATACACATATACACATATATATGTATATATGTCAGGAGAATGCTGCAGAAACAGCCAGTATAAAGGCATCATTCATTGTAAGCTGGGAGTAGTCTTTTACTTGGAGTCATTATTATTCATTCACTGGGGTCATTATACCATTCCCGAGATGAAATACTCCTCTGTGTACAGAGCCTGCATGAGGCCCTAGTTACTACTTGGTCCCTTCAATTTTAAGGGTAATTTGGCTGAAAAGTGGCTGTGCAAAATGGCACCAGCTAGTCCCAACTTCAGCACAGCTAAGAGGGGAGGAACTGGACCCTGCCCTCTGTATGCCCCTGTCGTGTGATCCCTTACTGCTGCCCAGTTGTTTTGCAAGAAAAACAGCTGCAGGCTTGTTTTAAGATGAACTTTTGGCCTACTTTTGGCCTATTTTTGATGTTAATGCCATGAAAAGAGGAAAAAAAACAAAATCAATGTGAACCTGAGATTCGAGATTGATTTTGTGGGCCGACATCTACAAACAGAGCACGACGAGCGTAGAAACCATGGCGAGACGACAAGCGGTGGAACCTCACAACTGCATTTTTGTGGAGCAAAATTTGTGTCTCCTCTGCCTCTCTCGTATTTCAGGAACGCTAGGAAAGCAGAGGTGCGCTCCCAGATGGCACGCCAGCGTTTCTTAGGTGTTCTGTATTGGCACAAACTTCGCTGGGAGGTGCCGGAGCTTGTGCTGTATTTTCCTAGGTAAGTTGCAGGGGTGGTCACAGAAAGCCAGACACGTGCACTGGAACATGCTGTATTTGTTCAGCTCAATGTGCCTGTTCTTTACTAAAGCCAGCAGGTCTATCTGCGCATCAGAAAACTTACCTGTTCTGTTTTCTAATAGAGGAAAAATTACTGCTTTTGCTTAGGCACACTGATTCTTGAGCAGAAGTAGGATGTACATAGATACCATAAATCATGTTTAGTTTTGCCAAAGAACATAATTATCTTTGGTATTTTGGATGACATTTCCAATAGGATTTGGACACCATACTTGGACTCCTTTTAAAATTACCAATCCTTTAGTACTACAGTTCTACTTACTTTTTTAGATGTTCAAAGAGGATTTTCATTGTCTCATAGTTTGGTTTAGGGAGCTTTTTTACGAGACTCTTTATGGATCTAATGCGAATGGCGTTGTTCTGGATTTCTAAGAAAAAAAATACAGAAAAAATACATTTGAGTGCCATATTAGGATATTACTTTGTCCAGTACAATATCAGATATCTTAGCAATAAAAGTCATCATTAATATATGGTTAAAAACAGAATGCATTGTACCTTCTGTCATCTTTACAGAGAGCAAGAGTAATTTACAAAAATTAAAAAAAACCTCTCTAAATCTTAAGGAAGTATTTTCTGGTCCATAGAATTATATTTTCATGCTTCTCATTTATTTCATTAGATCATTAGACCATTATCCTAAGCAAAAATACCTCCAAGTGGTAAGGGACCAACATATTGTGACCAACATATATTGTGAGGGTGACAGAGCATTGGAACAGGTTGCCCAGAGAGGTGGTGGAGTCTCCTTCGCTGGAGATATTCAAAACCCGTCTGGATATGATCATGGGAAATATGCTCTAGAGGACCCTGCTTGAGCAAGGAGGTTGGACTAGATGATCTCCAGAGGTCCCTTCCAACCTCAACCATTCTGTGATTCTATGATTCTGTGATATTAAGTAGAATATCACTTTGGAATTACATTCATCCTATGATCCAGTTTCTGTGGTGGACACTTTTCCCATATGGTTCTTGTCGTCCTTTATTTCTCATTATAGCTAAAGCAGCCATATTTGTGAATCTCCATCCCTAACATTTCACCCCATAATGGTGGGTAATATAAAATGATTTGATATTCTTTTTACTCATGCATTCTAATGGTCAATTGTTTCATGAAAATACTCCACCACAGCTATTTTCTAATACTAGATGTACCTGTGGCATCTCACAACTATATTTTTTTTAGGGAACAATTGGTATTTCAAACTTACAGTTAGAAAAAAAAAAGAATGTTGGACTTGCTCTGACTTTTAATCTTTCTTTTGAGTTGATAAGAACATTGCTATTCCTTTTGTTAAGACAAACCTTCCTGTTTTAGCATGATTCATTGTTTTGGGGGAAAGGTTTGACTCTGTTATTTGCATTGATTTGTATAAGATGTTGCAACTGAAGTAAAGTAATGTACAATTGTGCTTTCGTTTAGGAACAGATTAGATAAGGTGCCAGTAGGCCTGACGTAGGGAAAACATCTTGCTTGTTACATGCCCTAGATAACCTGAGAATTCTTTTCTGATCTTATCATCTATGATTTAATTATCACCTATCATTCTTTGTATATCTTTGTTTTTAATATTCATATTGCCCTCGCACCCAGAGATCTCCATCAGGATAGAATCCCAGTTGCAGTAAGTGCTGCATAAACTGGCATGATTAGTGTCTTAATTCAAAATTTTGCAAAAAAAAAATTATTCCCAACCAAAAATTTCTGGCAGTTGAAATTAATTTGAAAATTAAAATTATTAATAGGATGATATTCTTACTTCAGCATGCATTCGTAACTCCTGTTGAGGTTAATATTTCATACATGCAGATGTATATGTGCATACTATCTACAATATCGCTAACATTTTATATATCAACGATAAAAGTTCAAAGTAGTCAATGAATAGCTATTATTTTCCAGCAAAAAAAAACCCAAAAAACCTTTCATATGAATTTATTCTATAGGAAGTCATGCAGCTGGCAATAGTAGTAATAAAGTTACACACAAATGAAGAATAACATTTCTATGTATTTTAGTTTTGCACTGTTTTGGCCTATACAGACCCTTAACTTCTCTACAGTCCAAAAAGAAACAAATCTTGAAACCCAATGAACCCTTTGATTTTTCTGCCACATGCCAATAATGTTGGTTATTTTTGTCCATAGGGCAGATTGTCTGTCCAGCGGAAATAGGACTGAAGGTACAAATCAAAATGATAGGACATTTGCAGAAGTGGATTTATGGCAAGAAGGGGGAACAGCTTCTGTAGGCTTTGTGCCTGAACTACATGGTGCGCATATGATCCTCCCAGAAAAGTCAGGTTGAGATTGATTAGGGCTGCCTGGCTGCTGCTTGCTGTAACTTTTCAAGTAAAGCCATTCAACTAATTTTTTTGAATAGTGTTTTCTCCGAGGAGTTCAATGGGCTTCAGAGGGACTGAACCACTTAAGCTGGCCTAAGAAAAGCTCAGTAGAAGGCACCACTCTCTGCTTGTCCATTACAGAATATTTGCAAGGAAATCTAGTACGGTAAAACTTTATTGTGGTCTTTCGAAGGAAGTTTCTCTGCTTGCTCTGTTGGTTAACATAGATACCAGCTGGGCAACCACCTCCCCTACAGAAGCAGCTGCCTTACCGAGACTGTGGTTCCTCATAACACGTACTTAGAGAGCAAACAAACAGAAAAGCACAACGTTAATTTACAAAGGAATGGTTTATTGAGAAAACGGCGAGGATGTAAAGCTTTGTTTTAGGGCTTGCGCTACCAATGCCGTGGGTACTGACACACAGGGGAAGAGATCCGTGGTGAGGTGCTAACGCGCAAAATCCTGGGGACGGTGCGTAAAATTATTTGGTGAATCAACCTATTTGTTAATTGTTAGTCTATTGTAAAAGAAGAAAAACAGGCAACATGTGGTCACTTTAGTCAGCATTTCTGAACTGGGAATGATAAACACCTCTGCCTAGCTCTGGCATTTATCAGTACTGAGATATTATTACCACATAGAGTCACAGCATGGTTACTGTTATCATCAAAAAAAAAAAAAAAAAAGAGCCAGCTAATCTTAATGGTTTGTAAAGCCGTTACCTGCACTGGTCTGACATTTATCATGATCATTTTACCACATGAGTCCTACACTGCAAAGGTATTTTATCTGGAAGGGACATCACTATGAATTATTATTTGCAGCTAGGTAGAAAATTGTATGTTGTAGATACCTTTTCTCATTATAAATCACAGTCACATTTCACCATTTCCCACACAAAGCTGCTGAGCCCAGGCTTTTTGCCATAGCACTTACTCTCGCTCCCTTTTATAGCTCCATGAAAATATTGGCCACTCTTTCATTAAAATGGTTGATATGGTTTTTTTAAATGTTGTATACGCTTGATTTTTTTTTTTCTAGTATAAAAGAATTTGTTTTTCCACTCGAGGAACTGAAGAGGATAAACTGTTCTTTTTTATTATTATTATTATTTTTTAAGCTTATTCTTGCTTCAGTCTTAGTGGCTAGGCTTGTCTTTACTCTTGACCTTGTTGATGGAATATTTAACAGATCAGATGCAAGATCTTATGTTTCCGTTGCAATACCTATGTATTTGCTTTTCTTCTGTAAAGCCTTTAATTCCGCTGTCGTAGAAATTTTCTCCCTTCGGAATCCTAAATAGGAAGATTTTTTTTTTTTTGAGGTTTTTCTCTTAACCATGCTCAAATGGAGGGAGAAAATATTTAAACAGGAGTTTATATAAATCTTTATATAAATCTTTAAACATGTTTATATAATAGCCAGGGAGAAGGTATCTTTACTCCGTGTTACGAAGCCTGGCAATGCATGGTACAAAGGAAGGGAAGACACTCTGTGCAGTTGTTAAATTCTCCAGCTAAGTCTAGAAAATGAAACAGACCAATTTTGATAAATTGAGATAGTAGGCATTACACTTTTTTAGTCGTAAAAAACTGAAGAAAATCTAGGGAAAGGATTCACATTTGGGAAAGTTAGACCATCTTTTCCCTGTGTGGATTTTAGAAGGAATAAAGTCGTCATAATCACATATATCAAATAAAGAGTGAGAGGATGTTTAATCCTTTTTGCATTCTGGGGAAAATATGGAAGATGTAGGTGATAATTTCAGCCGATCAAGATACTCGGCAGTGAACCGCAGATGGTATTCCATGTAATATTTTCATAGAACATATATTTAGAATTTGGGTTACTGTCTTTAAAAATAGGGCTGGCTCCCTTTAACAGAGAAAAACTGTGGAGATTCTCTCTTGTTTATATTTAAATGAACAATGCATTGGAAAAAACACTTAATATTAAATAAGCTCTTTTGTAAGTGAGCTTGGATAAACATTTGCACATAGGAAAAAAAACATGATGTGTCTGTAACATTAACAGTGGCTGGGTAAAAATGAATGAAGAAAGTAACCTTTAGCACTCGTGTCCATAAAGAATACTTAAGCAAATCCCGCTGAATCTTTCTTTTAATCATTAATTTTAAATGGACGTAGATGTTTACAACAAGCCACTTTGTTTCAGAACAGGAAGTCCAAGGTTTATCTCCAATAACTCACGTTTGCTAGGAAGGGATGTATGTCTCTAACCTGACATGCATTCATTATTTTCTAAGGTACTGGAGTCTGACCCATGACCCCCCTCAGACCTGCTGCATTATTCATGTCTGACTTACTTTGTATAGTTTTACTATAGTACCCATTTCCCTTTACCAGGCATTTCAGTTGCTTGTGCATGTTTAATGTTAAATGGCATTTATGGCTCACATTAATGCCTAATTTTATCACGAGCCATGGTTTCTTTTTATGCTCTTGAGCCTCAGAGCTGAAATGCTGAAAAAACAGTGATTTATGATTCTGCATAAAGCATCAGCCTATTGATCTGTCACCTAATCTGTGATTTTTTTTTTTAAAGCACACTTTTCTCCTTTTTTTTTTCCTACAACTCTTCTCACCTTATTTTGCTTTTTGGACAAGATTTCTGCTGTGTTTAAAACGTCACACACTGTTGCTACAGCAAAATCTGCCTGCCAAGAGTTTCTCCAACAATTCACGACTGATTCAGCTGCTGAGAGAAAGACAGGTCTTGTTTGGGGCTTTTTTGGTTTGTTTATTTCCTTCTTTTTTTTTTTTCTCCAGTCGGAACTGAGTGGGTTAGGTGGATTTTCGAGTGCTAATGAAATTGTGAGACTTATGGCGCTGGCTACAGCCAGCCGTAGTGTGGGCAGACGCTCTGTGAGCTTCCCCACTGTGCTGCTGTGCAAGCATCCCCGCTGTTATGTTTGCTATAGTTTTAATGTCTGTGAAAAATTCCTGATGCAACTAAATTATGTTCTGCCCTCTTGTTTGTATAAATAAACACCCAACTTA